TGGACATGGGATCTTTTCTGTCAAGGTGACTGTTCCTGCTGTCATCCTGCCAGGGGTGCCCCTTGGGGTCCTGTGTGAGGGTCTCTTCCTCCACAGGGGAGGGTATGTGCCCGCCTGCTCTGGCTTCCCTTCTCACCTCCTCTTCACCCAGTGACTCCATGGCTTCTATCACCACCCAGAGCTGGAAACAGGTGCCCCATCTCCCATGGGCTCTGGACGCACCATCCAATCACCTACGCTGGCCCCCTCTCCCTCCCCCAGGCCCTCCAAGTCAGCTTATCATCTTTCCCCACAAACCGGTTCTGCCTCCTACTGCCCCTTTGGATGAATAGATGCCCCTCTTGGCCTATTCCCCCAGCTAGAAAGAGGTCTGCCTCTGTGTCTCCCTGGCCAGTGGATGATAGGCTTGGTGCCAGGCCTCAGGTCAGTTCCCTGGGCCTCCTCAGGTCTGTTCCCTGGGCCTCAAGTCTGTTCCCTATGCCTCCTCAGGTCTGTTCCCTAGCCCTTGGGTCTGTTCCCATCACCTCCAGCCTCATCCTTCACCAGCCTCTGGCTTCCAAACTCCCTCCCTCCCCATGCGATGAAGCCCAGACTCTGGGGCCAGTGGGCTGGGCCTGGAAGCCAGGCTGGGCTCCTAGTAGCCTGTACTCACCTTCCCTGACTGTCCCCCTCTTCCCTCCAGATGTGCTCCTCTGCTTCCAGTCCCTGAAAATGCCCAGCTCTTTTTTGCCCCTGGCTTTTGACCCTGCCACTTGCCCTGACCGGGACAATCGTGTGGCAGGCACGATGGTCAGGATGGGAGCCGGCTTCCCACAGCCCTGTGCTCGCCCCTGTTGTGACACCCCTGCCTGTGTCCAGGGCCCACCTGCCAGGCTCCTGCCAGCCCCCACATGGCTGGAGGGCAAGTGGGAGTCTCTCCTGTTGGATCTGCCTCCCCAAAGCACAAGGCACCAAGGGACATGATGGCTGGCTGAGTCAATGCCCCGCTTCCATGGCAGCCAGGAAAGCAGGTGCCCAGTGTGCTAGGATCTTCTAGAGCCCTCTTTGTTGGTATCTTAGCACCCACTGCAAACATTCTTTCCCAATCATGAGCCTCAGGCTCCAGGAAGGAAGTGGGAATAGGTGGAGGCCTTCCTTAGAGGAGACCCTGGGTTCTCTTCTCTGAGTAACCACTTCCCTTCCTCCTTATCCTATCTCCCGACTCCCAGTCCTCATGCTCTCACCTACTTTTCCTTCCTTCTGTCTCGGTGGAGGAGGGGTCCCTTCTCCCAGCCCCAGGTAGCCCCTCTCCCTGTGGGGACCCTTGATCCCAGGCCTCTCGGGGACTGTGGGCCTCCACCTCTCCCTTTGTCTTCACCTGTAATCTCCCCACCCCATGGTCCAGTTCCCTGCATGGTGGGCCCCTGCCTCTTCCACCCTGAAACACCTTCCCGCCCCTTCCTCCAGCCACCCCCCACTCCAGTCGCCCCATTCACCTCTCTTTACCAACAGACTCTTTTCAAAAAGGACTTCCTAGTGTCAAAAAGACAAGTGACAACAAGGGTTGGTGAGGACGTGGAGCAAAGGGGACCCCGCACTGCTGGTGAGGGTACAAACTATAGAAAGGATGGAAGCATCTCAAAAAGTGATGACTAGAACCACCACATGACCCAGCAATTCCACCTGCAGGTATTTATTCAAAGGAAACCAAATCACTACATCAAAAAGATGTCTGCAGCCCCGTGTTCAGGGCAACAAGAGTCACAACCACCAAGACGTGGAGACACCCTGAGTGTCTATTGATGAGCGAGTGTGTGAAGAAGACACATGTGCACGCACACACGCTGGAATATTACTAGCCGTAAAAAAGAAGGAAATCCTGCCATTTGTGCCAACAGGGGTGGACTTGAGAGTGTTGTGCTCAGTGAACTAAGAGAAAGACAAATACAGCAGGATATCACTTTGGTGTGGCGTCTAGAACAAAACAAAACAAAACCTGAAGTCACAGCGTAAGAGACCAGACGTGTGGTTACCAGAGGCGGGGGTGGGGGGCAGCGAGAGGAACCGGGTCAGAAGGTCCAAACTCCAGGCTGAGGCAGGTAAGCGTGGGGCAGGGGCGAGGATCTCGGAGGTGACACTGCTGTCGGGTATCTTTGCACGTTGCTAGGAGAGTAAATCCTAAGTTCTCATTACAAGGAAAAAAGTTTTTTCTTTTCTTCTTTCTGTGTCTGTATGAGAAGAGTAGTGTTCATGTGCTGTGGTCACTGTTTTGCACTGTGTAAGTCAGGTCCTCGTGCGGCACACCTCACAGGCGTGGCGGCGGCCCATCACGCTTCAATAACAAAAGAAACCAATCGAAAGGAAGGAGAAGCAAAAAAGGGAGGGAAACATGACTTCCGTGTGCACTTCCTGCTGGCCTGTTCTCAGCTGCTCCCTCCTCACCTACCCCCCCCCTCCCCGGGACAGTTCCTGCGAACCCCAGGGCGTACCCTGACTCCACAGACACAGGTGTGCGGGGTTTTCTGTCTCACCTCTCACCCCCGCCCCCCCTACAGGAGTCTACTGAGGACCAGTCCTGTGTGCAGGTCTGTGCTGGGGGAGGAGAAGTGACCAGAGTGTCAGGTGTGGTCCCTGGGCTTGGAGAGGAGATTGAGTTGAACACACATGAAGCAGCATAGAGCAGCAGATGACAGACTGCAAAGATGTGCTGAGTTATAGGGCACTGTCTGTATGTGCATCCTGACAGGGAAACAGGAGAACAGTGAGGCTGGACACCCCCAAGGCGATTTTCAAGTATAAGCCACCAGCGGAGCTACATACAATGGTCAGGATTTGCAGGGGCAGGGTGGGGTTAGGGAGCCAGTGCTTGTTAGAGTATGGAGTGAGCAAGAGGCTCCCTCAAATGTCTTCTTCATACTAAAGTGTAAATGACTGGCAAGACCCTCAAATAAAACCTGTAAGTCATCCTTGCCATCTTTCACGAAAATCTTCAACTAAGACAAGTGACCTTAACGACAGAATTTCAGTCACCTACTCTGAGTTGGAGAAGAATATCAGAGTAAAACATATACACTCATCTATCTCTCCCTCTCTGACTACAAGTTTTCCTATATAAGAACCATGCACGAATTTGCCAGCTCTGCTGTGCAAATATTTTCCTTGCTATGAGGTCAGAGCCAGGTCTCTGCCTGCCTCAGGCACACACGGTCTCACATCCTCCCAGCGGGCTGTTTGTTCTCTTTGCTGTTTGATATCAATCTCTGTTCACTGTGCTTTTATAGCCCAGTGTTATTTTAATCAAAAGCATGTTTTATTTGTTAAAAATCCCTTCTTATTTTGCACCACATGGCTCTCCCATGTACCGCCAAATAATATCAGATACTCACATAGTGTTTCGAAATGCTCTGCATGGGATGGCCTGGATCAAACTTTTTCACGAAGGTGCCACAGGTGGGTTGTGTCACGGTCCCCAGTTACACATGAGGAAATAGAGGCACAAATTACAGACGGTCCTGCGAAGCTATGGAGACAGACCTCCACTCAGGAGAACAGATAGCCCCTGTCTCACCGGCACTCCTGCTGACCCTCCTGCCAGCTTCTGCCGGCTGCTGGCTGTGGCCTTAGATCTTCTGCAGCCTGAGAAATGCTTGCCTTTTATTAGCGTGATGATCGTTTCTCAAACTGTGTTAAAGGACAAGTTTTATTCTATTTTTAAAAAAATTTCAAACTGGGGCACCTGGGTGGCTCAGTGGCTTAAGTGGCTGCCTTCGGCTCAGATCATGATCTCAGGGTCCTGGGATCGAGTCCCATATCATGTTCCCTGCTGAGCAGGAAATCTGCTTCTCCCTCTCTGTCTGCCCCTCCCCCTGTTCATGCTCTGTCTCTTAAATAAAATCTTTAAAAATATTTTTTTCCAGCCATCCAGTGACATTTTAAGAATTGCTATAGAGTTTTCTAAATGCTGGCTTTCAATGTCCATGCTTGTCGCAGATGAACCAAGAACATCTTGCGGACCAGCACCGGTTTGTGGACCATATTTTGAGTAGCGCAAATGCATATTATCAGCAAAATCAGTTTCATGCTTTTATTTTTTTTATTTTTTTTAAGATTTTATTTATTTATTCATGAGAGACACACAGGCAGAAATACAGGCAGAGGGAGAAGCAGGCTCCATGCAGGGAGCCCAACGTGGGACTTGATCCGGGGACTCTAGGATCACGCCCTGAGCTGGAAGGCAGACACTCAACCGCTGAGCCACGCAGGCATCCCAGTTTCATGTTTTTAAAATTTTATTTCATACATCCAATAATATTTGTTAGGTGATTACCACACAGCGGACAATAAACCAGGTGTGGAAAACAAGAACATTAGGGCTTTCACAAAGCTAACATTCTTGCAGGAAAGCAGACTTGAAACAATTTGATGCCAAAGAGTAAGCAGGAGGTGCCAGGCCCAGAGAGGGGAAAGAGGCAGAAGGAAGTAGAGTAGAAGGAAGGGCAGGTGCAAAGGCCAAGGCCAACAGGCAAGGAAGAGGCTGCTGAAATGAACGGTTTCCTACAGGTCTCTAGAGGACACACCAAAGACTTTGCTTGTCATCTTAAAAGCTATGGAAAGCTTCCAAAGGGTTTCAGCTGGGGGCAAGGGGAGTGGTGGGTAGAGATAAAATGGACAGATTGGCCTTTTATATCTATATATAAAAAAAAGAGTTTTCCTTTTCCATTAATGTAAATCCAATGCATTTTCATGATAATTATAATGGGGAATTAATAATCTGTTACAGACATTTTCACATATGAACAGAACTTTTGGGACTGCCATCATGTAAGCAAGGATTCTCCATGATGTCCAAGCCTCTGAGAACACATGTGGACAACTGCCTACACCTGCAAAGGGCTCAGCCTATTGAGCGTAGCCATGTGACAGCTCTGGCCAGTGAGCAAACAGCAAAATCTGCCCTGGGTTCAGGGAAACTTTTTTTTACTTCCCAGATGAAAGGAGAGAGCCTGGCTAGCATGGTCCTGTCCCCTTCTCCTTGCCTTAAGAACGAATCCTGGAGGCACAGCAGCTGTCTTGCCACCATGAGGCGACAAGCACAAGGACAAAATCCAACACGGTGAGGTTGGCAGAACAGGACAAAGAACCCGAGTCTTGGATGACCCAGCCTGGCCTGCCCCCCATTTCCCATCACCTTGTGATGTGAGAAAAATACATCTCAGTCCATTGGATCCACAGTAAGTCTGGTTTTCTGATTCTTGGTGTTGAAAATAGTTGAGCTTTCCGGTTGGAAACGGATGGTCTGCAAAGTCAGATCAAACCTCACAGCACGGTGTTCTCCCCCTGTGGCTGTTCCCATCGTTGGGCACTTGGATAATTCAAAGGAGGAAGGCTTTTCTTTTATTGCTGACATTCTGTCCCCCTTCTCACCAGGCGCAGTAACAGAATAAGCAGCTCTGCTTTGTGTCTTTTGTTTCCTAAAAGGGAAAGAGCAGCTTCACGGCCTCGGGTGGAAATTGCGGCTATACTACACCACATCAGAATGTGCTGTTCTCATTTATTTTTTAATACAAACCCATCTTTGCATGTGGGCCCTGGCAAAAAATTGGTGGTTACGAAATATTGACGAAGGAGGTAACATAGGAGGTAAGTGACACACGGCAAAGGAATCTTGTCTTCAAATTACACAGAACGCGACCACTGTGGTCCGTGACACAGCTCCCACATTCTTTCCATATTTACCCAACAGGGTTCCAGCAAAATAGAGCACCCGTTCCATTTGTTAAGTGGACATGTCAAACTGTGTGGAAGAGCCACAGGAAGGTCCGTCCAGCTGGCCTGTGCCTGCAGCCAGCTGATGGTGTCCCTCGGTGCCATCGCGCTCCTTCGAGAAGCAATAAAAATGGTTTGTACCACACTTGGGATGAAGCTCAGGAAGTGGGTCATCAAAGATGATGCACGCTCTCCTCTATTCTGCATCTATGCTGTGAGACATGCTATGAGTACTCAGTGCCCCACAATTCACTGATCTTCACGCATGCACACACAGGAGGGGGATTCGAAGGTACGCCTCTGGGCAGAGAGGACGCTGCAATTCCAGATGCACACTATCATGAAGCCCATGTTTACCACGTGCAGGGCTTTTTAAGATTATAGGCTGTCTTTCAAGCAAAGCAGCCTCTACCACTAATAATTCCATTCTATCAGACAAAGTAGGAAAAACGCTACTGGTTAGTATCTCGAGCAAAGAGAAAATCAGAGTATAAACTCTCGTGCCCATGAGAGACGGACTCCCGTGGAGAGCTATCTGGCCAAGCAGTGCTGTTTTAAAGGAACACAACCATCCGGGTGGCCAACTGAAAATACAAAATGCTAAAATGTATGCAGAGTGAAGCTGCGTTGTTTTTTCATGGAGGTGCAGTCCCACGGATGGGGGTCTGGCTGAAACTCTGAAAGTCACTAAATTTTGTCACATCCGGAGCATGATTAATGCCCAGAGAGGCTTAAGGACTTGTAATGATGCTAATAACAACTGGTTACCACTGGAAAGTGGTCCTGCTGCCAGAAAAACAAATGATCAGACACTTAAAGCCTCTATCAGGATGGAAAAAGGCATTTTGCCAAGTTTTGTCCCCTCTTAGAAACCGCCTGGTCAGCTCTCTGAACTCTACTTGAACTTCAGCACTCCATAGTTGCTTCACTGGCTGAAATAAGCTTCTTGTATTTAAGTAGACCTACAAATCTATGGAAAGTCGAAAAAGTTTCACGTTCCCAATTTTTTTGGGGAAAAAAAGGAATATTATAAATAGACGCACAGAAAAATACCTTATGAAAAACATTAATAGTTCTATGGGGTTGTTGAGTGACAACTTTTTAATGCACCTCACATTTTCCAAATTTTCTAATATGAACATACATTATTTTTATATAGGAAACTTTATAAACTGTTTTTAAGAAGAAAAAAAAATGCTTCAAGATACTCCTTAAAAAACCAGGTGGCATTCTGTGGGTGGGGCAGGGGTGGGGAAGGTGAGTTGATTCTGCTCAGCCACTCACCAGACCCTCGCTCAGTAACCAGGGTACAGGAGACCCACTCTGTAAGAGTAAGTGGAATCATGTATAGGGCCCTACGACACCGCGAGGTACATAGTAGGTGCTCAGGAAAGGACAGTTAGCATCCTCATTCCTCCTCAAATGATGATCAGTGTTCAAAATGCTTTCAGGGAGCCCCCGGGGTCCAGTTCCTTTTGATGAGAAATTTACCTGAATTTTAAAGTGGAAAAACCCCCAAACTGTCCTGAAAACAGGATAAAAGTGTAGGTGTCTCATTGCTCTGAAGCAGGGGAATCCTCCCTCCCCAGACTCCACGGTTTGCATGGACAGGAAGGGGATGGTGGGAGGGTATGGCCGCGCACAGAACTCCAGGGTTGGGGGGCCAGAGTCGGGCTGTTGGCTTCCAGACAGATGACAGATGTGAGGCTCTCACAACCATTTGTCTGGGATCCCCGGGCCCGGGGTCAGATGTGTGACAGGGGACGTGGCAACTGCCACTGGCACAGCTGCTGGCCCGCTGCCCCGGCAGGGGCTATTTCAGGTCTCACCCAGCATTCCCTGCCCCGTTAGCAAAGCTTCGAGAAATGCTTTGAACTCTTCAAGGACAAAAAAGGCCCAGAGCCGGTACGGCAGGGAGGCCAGCCTTCCACTGAGTTAGCCGCAGCAAGGGTAGGGTTTCTCTCCTGAGATGGGGGCAGACTATAACCCCCCCCCCAGGTGAGAGCTTTCGGGGAACAGAACCAGAAACAACCTCACTCAGAGTCAAAGCCCTTGTGGAGATGTTCCAGCCGCAGGAGCGCGGTGTGGGCTCCTTCCTCGCAGCTCGGGTGGTGAGGCAGTGTCTGCAAAGCTGGGTGTAACGTCGGCTACTGCGTGCGTGCACCTGACTTCGTGCTCGGCAACTCCTGCATTGATGCATTTACTCCTCACAGCAGTCTCAGGAAGCAACCACAGCTGCTGTGACTATGTTTTATACACCATGGGCCCCAAATTCGTGAGTCCGCAGCCACCTTGTGATGCATACGTGCCCAGGAGCATCCTCTGCTCTGGCTCTCTCTGTGTCTCTCTCTATCTCTGTCTCTGTCTCTCTCTCTCTCCCATGGACTTTCTCAAGTGATGACCAGTGTAGATGTGCACTTGGTCCTTATGGATTCAAAGGGACAATCCTGTTAGGTTCTCTTTCTCCACACCCCTGCCTCACTAACTCTGAGCACTTCATCTAGCAGATGAAACTGGAAGGTTTCACATATGGGTTCATGTCCCCAAAGACTGATGCTTTGCCATATTCTCCTAAAAGCTGTGATACTCCCTGGCATGGCCTGAGGGAACAAATGGACTTCTGCAATGACCCAATGGTGGGATGGGATGGGATGGAGGGCTGGCCAGAACCATATGCACTGAATTTTTTAGTGTAAGAAGAGCCCCATGGAGCCCATTATTCATTTATCACACAGGCGTCCACCGGGCAACAGCTGACAGATGCAAAGTGATGCTCTGCACGTTACCAGCTGTCAGGACACGGAGTGCGGCCCGGCCACGGCAGACCCTTCCTCTTTACTCCCATCAACCTGACCCCTCTGAGCCCACTCACGGCAGACATATGGCAGCCATTTGGGCTTACTTCTCCTTTCCCCATATCCCAGTCACATTGACGATGGGGGATTGACCACCGCCCAAAATGGAGTGTTTAGCTTTCTTTCGGATCATTCCAAACTTGGGGACTGCTAAAAGTTTTGTAACTACATAAATATTTATCTGCAATTTTTGGTTACTATATAAACATAGCCAACATGACACTGGCCCCAGATGTAGTTAAGTCACATAAGAATCTTCCAGTTATGAAAAAGGGGAGCTAACCAACAAAGGGCTTTGGAACTGATTCTTTTGATCATGAAATATTGGGGCTGCTATTTTTAATGCTGGGCTTTTCAGATACCAAAGTATGTTTATCCTTAACTCTATATAAATATTCAGACCTCACTTACTGTCCACCAGCCGGCTTGCTTGAGCATGCCCTGCATCACAGAGGCGCGAGAAAGAATGTGGATGGGGTGATACAAGGCTTTACCTCTATAAATAACCTCAGGCTAACAGAGGGAAGCTGAAGATGGCAAATGTCACTTTGGGCTTTGTCACCTGTGAGGGAAAGAGATTATTCTTTATGTTCAAGTGTCATATGTTTACACTTGTCAGTGGGTTCTGGTTGACACTTAAGGATGTCGGTAAAAGAGCTGAATGAAGCACCAAATGTCCCAGATGGTAGCCACTCAAGTACACAGACCTAGGAAAATATGGAGCGAATATCATTGTGCATTCTTTTTTTTTAAAAGATTTTATTTATTTACAGAGAGAAAGAGAGCATGAGGAGGGGTAGGGGCAGGCAGAGGGAGAAGTAGAAGCAGACCCCCTGCTGAGCAAGAAGCCCCCACACAGGACTTGATCCCAGGACCCTGGGATCGTGACCTGAGCCAAAGGCAGATGCTTAACTACCTGAGTCCAAGGGCCCCCATGCATTCTTTTCTTACTCCCTGTTTAGCATAAAGTTAACCCTCTGAAGCCAAGGGGTGAAGCTGGTGGAGTTTGTGCTCTTCAGAGCTGTGGTCTCAGGAGGAGGTCCCTGGCCAGACCCCCCAGTCCTCCATAGAAGGTGGTTGGTCCAGGGGTGCCTGGCACCAGTACAGCACATGACTCTTGATCTCAGGGTTGTGAGTTTGAGCCCCACTTTGAGTGTAGAGATTACTTAAAAATAAAATCCTAAAAAAAAAAAAAAAAGGAAAAAAAAAGAAAGTGGTTGGTCCCAGGAGAGGGCTTTGCTTGGCTTGGGTCCTGCTTCCTCTGCCCCAGCTGGGACTCACCTCCGTGAAATGGGGCAGGTTTGCTGGCTTAGCAGACTCTGGCATAATGCTATCGATGGTCCCAACAAGGAAGTAGCGGCAAGCCCTGGAAATCTTGCAAACACAGCCCTGGTGAAGCTCCTAGTCACTGTGCCAGGGCCTCATTTCTTTAAGAGACTTAGCTGGTGGGCGATCTCTGTTGCTGGAACATTATTATTCCCATTCTGTACGGGAGTAAACATTGACAGAGAATGGTTTAATGACATGCTCCAAATTTCTAGGCATGCCAGAAGTAGAGGAAAAATTGGCTGGAATTTCTGATTTTCAGACCCATGCTTTAGTTAGGAGACTCAGCTTTCAACGGACATGTTTTAAGTGCCCAGCAGGGAAATAATGCAGCAGAATCTAGTATCTTCTAGAAGCGTTGGATGGAAGTTACCAAAGCTCACGCTAACGTTTTAACTCTCTCACCTCTACATAGGCATCTAGCAATGAACCATCGTTTTCCTTTCTCCTTGTGAGGGGCTGCAGTATGGGGAGGGTGAGCAGCTCAGCCAGACACACACTCGTAGGGCTGAACCATGACCAGAGCTCCTGGCCTCCTGACTCCAGGCCAGTGCTTTCCCCACGATGCTAGAAAGTGACGAGCTAGACCCTGGGTGCCTGAAACACATCTGTGGTGATTGTGTGCTATCTGGTATCAGCTCAGTTTAGCGGAAATTACATTTCCAGAATATCTTTCTCTGTGTGATGCTGGGTGAGAGTTAGCCCAAGGAGAAACAGGGGCCCAATCTGGAAGGTGGGAGTAAAGCAACAGCCACTCTTCTGTGAAGGCTGCTGTGGTTCGATGGAAGGCCTGGGGCCCAAGGGCTGGGGACTCTGGCTCATTCTTGCTCCTTTCCATTCCACATCCACTTTCTTTCTTGAAAAAAAACCACCCACTTTACTGAGGTGTGACTGACACCTAAAGAGCTGTACATGTTTCATGCCTATGACTTGATGAGTCTGGA